TTCTCTAGTGAGGGAGAGAAATGGGGATTGTGCAGAAGAGACCACTCATCTGAGAAAGGCTTTCTCAATCAAACTATTCAAGCAGTTTGTGGAAATGCCTGTGAAGATGACTTGGAAGCTTCATCTATTGCAAAATGCAGGTGTTGGATTGTAAACTGGTCCAGATTCAATAGCAGTGGTGCTATAAACTGTAAAGGGTGTTCAATATTTGAAGCAGCACTTCTTTCCTGAATAAAGCTGCCTGAGAATTAAGATTTTATAAGGGTATGCTTCAGTGCCTCACCATTCAAAACACAACAATATGTGGAGGTGTAAACACTGTGGCAGTCAAGTAGAAAATGTTCCCCTCTCTCGTGCTTTTAGCATCAAGTGCTGAACTAACTCTGCCCTCTAGATTTAATCATAGTAATATAATGGTTGGGTCATCAGACTAGAAACTTGTAGTTTGTGAGTTCCAAATCTTTCCTTAGACATGATGCCAGCTAGGTGACCTTGAGCCAGTCATTCTCTCTCAACCTTAAGGACACTGTGGCAATTTTGCCAAGAAATTTGCAGGGTCTGGTCCAGCCAATTTTGTCAGGAGACAACACTGATTTGAAGGCATCAAAAACAACCCCACACATAATTTTTTGAAAAGCTTTCAGATTTTTCCTGGGATCCTTCGATGCATGATGGATTGTTGACATTTTAAATACAGGTAATCCTCGAATTATGACTGTAATGAAGCCTGCCCATTCCATTCGTAAATCGAAAACTCGTAGAGTGAATCTCGTTCAAGATACGAGATCACTCCCTTTCTCATTAAAACGCACATGGCTCATTAAGCGAACATGAGGTATCTCAGGGTGGGGAAGGCCATGTAGGGCCTAGTGCTGGAACAGGCCCCCAAGGCCTCCCTGACCCACTAAGATACCGCATGCTTCCTCTTCCCTTCCTGCCGATCAGGCCTGGAAAAGGCCTCGGAACCTGGATCGGGCCTGGGGTGTGTGTGGAAAGCTTCCCCTGGCCTCAGTTCTAGGCCGCAGTGCCCTAGAAAAGGTTCTGGAGCATGGATTGGGCCGCAGGGAGGGGGCACAGAAGCGTTCCCTGGCCGCAAATACGGGCGGCAGAGGCCTGGAAAAGGCCTCCAGAGCTTGGATCGGGCCGTGGGGGGGCGTGGAAGCTTCCAAGGGTCTGATCCAAGCCTCGGGGGGGGGGGGGTTCCTAGCTGTTTGCGGCAGGAACAGAGTTTTGGGGGGGACTTCTGCACGCCTCCGAGGCTTGGATCAGGCCCTTGGAAGCTCTGTTCTGGGCGGCGGCACTTTGGAACAGTCCTCTGAGGGCTGGATCCAGCCTCCGGACGCATGCAGAAGTCCCCCCCCCCAACCTTCGTTCCTGGCACAAACGGCTAGGAAAACCTCTCTGAGGCTTGGATCAGGCCCTTGGAAGTTCTGTTCCAGGTGGCAGCAGCAGCTTGGAGCAGTCCTCCGAGGGGTGGATCCAGCCTCCGGAGGCATACAGAAGCCTCCCCCGGCCTCCGTTCCAGGCCGCTTGGAGGAAGGCTCTGGGGACAATGGGGTCACTTTCTCCCCCAGTGCAGTGAGCTCCGGGCTGGACATGGGTGCGAGGGGCCTGGCCTTCTCCCTCAGTTGAAGGCTTCAGGCTTGCTGTCAGGCAGAAAGGAGTTGGGGGCAGGAGTAGGAGACAGGCACCTTTCGCATAGAGAATGAAAGTTCCTGAGGTTCGTGATTTGGCGCAACTTCAAACACTCGCGCGAGATCACGAACTCCAGAAACATTTCCAAGCTGACTCTCCTCTCCTTCAAAGGGAAAGAAACCGCGGCAGAGAGGATTTTTGTAAGGTATGTGAGTCCGGCGCGGCAGGAAGGGAGGAGGAAGCAGTTGTGAGGAGTGTGTAGGGGGGAATAGGTTGAATATTGCAGTGCCACTGAAGTCGCTCATAAGGGCGAACGACTGCCGTGGTGCTGCAATATTCGTAACTTTGGGACTTGCTCGTAAGCACTAGGGGGCGCTTATCACGTAACTTTGAACGAGTGTTAAGTGAACGCTCCTAACTCAGGGATTACCTGTAGTAAATTTTTGGCTATGACACTGGAGAAGCCAATTTCTTTTCATGTCAGTAGCATTTTTCAGGTGTATTATGAGGAACCTCATGCCTCATTTCCAAACTACTGGACGTGAACTTATATAGGAGGTGTTTGTTTGATTGAAAATTTCAATGACAATCCAATAATCCATTGTGACGGCTGAGTATTGAGTGATTATATCTTAAATGTCCTTCACTGTGACCCAATTTTGACCTATTTAAAATGTTGGCGGATTGGTTAATATTAACTAACGTTAAATATGCCTCTTTATTGTTCTGTTTTAAAGCAGAACTTTTTAAACACGTGTGTTATTCTTTTCAACATTATGGAAAAAACTCAGTGTATGTCAGTTGACATTGACTTGATACATAATCAGTCAAACATTTTTTTTTGCTTTTTATGCTACATTCTGGTTTCTATTATTGTTTTTAATTGCTTGATGATATTTGATATATTCTTGATTTACTTTTCCTGTTCTTTGTTGGGCTTTTTTGTTAACCGTGTGAGCTTGTTTTCCTGGTGGCCTGAAGTATATAATTTGATACATAAAAAGAATTAGCCAATGAAGAATTAAAATGGTAGTATAATACTAAATCTCAAGGTATCTGTTGTCTGGAGATTGATCTAGCTTGATGTTTCTAAAGCAGTGGTTCTCAACCTGTGGGTCGGGACCCCATTTGGGGTCGATCGACCATTTCATGGGGGTCGCCAAGCAAGGCTGTCTGCCATTTTTTTTGTCCACCATTTTTTTTTCCCTTTTCTGACGGGTGCCTTACCTCCCTTGGGCTGGGCCAGCTGGTGGTCGGCCTGCTCCATCTCTGCCGCTTGCCAGCTACGCCTCGGCCGGCACAGGGGGCAGAACCACGCATGCGCGGCGCTCCCGGGCAGGGAAAGTCCTTGACTTACGACCGGTTGGGTAGTCCTCGACTTACGACCGGTTTAGTCCTCGACTTACGACCGGTTTAGTCCTCGACTTACGACCGGTTGGGGTCGCGGCATTAAAAAGGTTGAGAACCACTGTTCTAAAGAAAGACAGCAAAATAGGTGTTTGGTAAACATGATTTTGCAGGAGATAGGGGCAGTCAGGATTCTTTGGCTATCCTTTAACTCATATTGAACATTTAGGAAGAATGGCAATAACATGAAGTTACTGGATTGTTATTATTAAAGTTTATTTGGGGATAATTCCTGCAGGTTTCTCTCCAAAAGGAATCAGAAAAGGAGATAGAAAGATTTAAATTAAGTTTGAATTCACTGAATTCCTTGAATGTACAGATAGTCCTCGACTTATAATAGGTCATTTAGTGACAGTTCAAAGTTACAGCAGCACTGGAAAAAGGGACTTATGACCATTTTTCACACCTACGACCATTGCAGCCTCCCCATGATGATCAAAATTCAGATGCTTGCCAACTAACTCATATTTATGACGGTTACAGCGTCCTGGGATCAGGTGGTCACCTTTTGCGACCTTTGGACAAGCAAAGTCAGTGGGGAAGGCAGATTCACTTAAGAACTGTCTCGCATAGCAACAGAAATTTGGGGCCCAATCGTGGTCGTAACTCGAGGGCTACCTTTATTTCTTAAAATGGCACCCAAAGTATCCCTTTCCCGTTGCTAATCCAGAAACTGGCCACAGGAGTGGAGTAACACTTTAGGGCAGGGGTAGGCAACCTTGGCTCTTTTATGACTCGTGGACTTCAACTCCCAGAATTCCTGAGTCAGCTATGTTGGCAACTATGCTGACTCAGGAATTCTGGGAGTTGAAGTCCACGAGTCATAAAAGAGCCAAGGTTGCCTACCCTTGCTTTAGGGGATAGAGTAAGAAAGATACAGCCTGGAGTCTTAGGGCACTCAAATCTTCCTCCATGTGGCTCTGTGGGGGAAGCCGCCGCTGTTGCTGTTGGTGCCTTGACAACGTGCTCTTTCTGGAAATGAAAACATCTCTGTAATTTCTTTCTTGCTCCTAGGGTTTTCTCATTCAGCATTTACCTTCGGTATCGAGAGCCATATCAGCCAGTCCAACATCAACGGTGCTCTGGTGCCCCCAGCTGCTTTGATTTCAATAATTCAAAAAGGCCTGCAATATGTGGAGGCAGAAGTCAGTATTAACGAGGTAAGACATGTCCTCATCTACAGGAGCATTGGGATGTTTTTCTTGCAATATTCTGGACTATCTGTCTCTTTCCTGCTCCCCCTCTCCTTAGCTTTCTTTATCCTGTCTTGTCTGTGGACTCCTGCTTTTGTGTTAGATACCCTCTTCCTTATGTGTCTCTCTTGATGCGTTCTTGTTAAATAAGACTGAAGCATTTCAAACATATATATTTATTTGGGTTCAGTTCAGGTCAATTATTCTTTGTAATGTTTTGGCTTACAGGGCTTACACTCTGGTGTACACTTACCAAATGCCTTGTTCCCTGCTTAATAGCGTTGGTTATACACTTAACAAATATTAAGGCTCTAAAAATTCAAAGATTTTTCAGTACTTAGGAAGACGAAGTACACTTTATTAGTGTGTCTCGTGAAAAGAAAAAATATGTATTTTTGCCCAGTTAAAAAACAATTTTAAAAAATTCTGAGGATACACTGACATTATTATTATTACTACACTAATAGTAGTACTTCTAATACTATTACTACTGTTATTGCAACCAAAAGCCACAGGGGCTGAACTGTGACATCATTGGTTGGTTTTGGTAAGGTTCAGGAGTGTCTTGGGGTTTTGTAGTATTTTGGGGTTTAAAATACTGCACTAAGTTAAAGATTGCCACCTCTTTCATACTTAATTCCCAGGCAGAAATGGTAGTGTATGGCAACAACTTTTCAGCATCACAATTTTGAGGGGCTTGTTGATGTTAATGTCCTTCTCTTTGACTTTTATCATCAAACATGGAATTGTGTTTTTTTTTTAATCAATAATATTCATTAATGGAGGTGTTTAAGAAAAGATTGGACAGCCATTTGCCCATAATGGTATAGGGCAGTGATGGCAAAACTTTTAGAGACCGAGTGCCCAAACTGCAACCCAAAACCCACTTATTTATCGCCGGGTGCCAGGTGGGCATGGCCCACTGGGTGGGCGTGGCTGTGGTGGTCATGGCATACTGGGTGGGTGTGGCCAAGGTGGGCGTGATCACCTCGATGTTGCTCCTGGGGAGGGATGCCTGTGGGGGCCGGGCAGGTTTGGGGGAGATCAGGGGGTCTCTGGCAGGTGGGGCGGTGGGTAGGAGGCTCATCCTGCCAGATGTCACAGGGCAAGATGAGGCAGGGGCCGGGGCGGCTGCACACAGAGGCCAATGAGTGCATGGGTGCTGGGATGCATCTGGCCATGTGGGACCTCGGTGAGTTAGCGGGCGGCTGGTTGAAGAGGGACAGTTGCCATCTCCGGGGCATGGCGCGCGTGCCCACAGGGCTCTGAGTGCCTCCTCTGGCACGCGTGCCATAGGTTCGCCACCACTGGTATAGGGTCTCCTGCTTGGACAGGGAGTTGGAATAGAAGACCTCTAAGATCCTTTACAATTCTGGTATTCTGTTATTCTAAATTCCCATTTCCTGTCAGATGATGTGAGAATCTTAACTTGACACCGTGAAATTGCTGCTTTGGGTCCCCAGCCAAGTCTTTATCAGGTTCCTTAATGCTACATGGTTCTTTATGCTGTCCCTGTATCACCTAAGAATCCTTTTTGATACCTCAGTTGTGGTTGAGTGGCATACAGATTTTTCTATCACCTTTGATTATACGTCTACTTTCTCCTTTGAGAAACCCTTCACAGCTTTCATAATTGGAGGGGGGAATGAATCCATGCTGTGTCTGAGACAGAGCAGAGCAAGTAATGAAGATAAATTAGGGACAATTCCATCAAAGGGAGTTCCCTGCATCTGTAAAAATTAACACAGGTAGTCCTTGACTTACGACCACAAATGAGCCCACGATTTCCATTGCTAAGCTGTTAAGTAAGTGTCGCCCCATTTTATGATTTCTTTGCTGCAGTTGTTTAGCGAATCACTACAGCTGTTAAGTGATTCATGTGGTCATTAAGTGAATCTGACTTTCCTCCCATTGGCTTTGATTGTCCGAAGTCTGCTGAGAAGGTTACAAACGATGCTGACGTGACTCCAAGACAGTGCAGCTGTCACAAGTACATGCCAGTTACCAAGCTCCCAAAGTTTGATCACGTGACCATGGGGATGCTGCAACAGTTGTAAAACATGGTCGCAAGACACTTTTTCAATGCCATTGTAACTTCAAATGGTCACTAAACAAATGGTTGTAAATTGAGAACTACCTGTGAAAATTGAAATTCTTTCCTGAAAACCCCTTTAACTTGGACTTCCAGTTTGCACCCACCGCAATTATAAAAGAATGAATGAATCTATCTATCTGTCTGTCTGTCTGTCCGTCCGTCCGTCCGTCCGTCCGTCCGTCCATCCATCCATCCATCCATCTCTGTCTGTCTGTCTGTTTGTCTATCTATCTATCTATCTCAACATGCTTAGTCCCAGTGACTGCATGTTTTTATAACTTTGTTTTATCATACAGAATAAAAATACAGAACAGTAAAACAAACAAACAATATGTGACAAAACAAAAACATACATTCAACCCTAACCACACACAAAAAAAGAAAAAAAAATAGTATACCAGAAAGGAGGAAAACGTGGTCAATTAAATTTAACATGTAGATTCCACCTTGGCTGAGTCCTGGAAGGAAAGAAAAAAAAGCAACAAATTCTCTTCCCTAACAGGTTAAGCTAAACGTTACACTGATCTTCAAATCCCTCTGTTAACCATCTGTTATTATATTTAGCATGTAGAAAGTCCACAAACTCTTATATTGCAGCCTAGTCCATTATCTCTAATCAGAGTGGTTAGTTTCACCATCTCTGCTAATTCAGTCAATTTCAAAATCCATTCTTCAGCAGTCAGCATCTCAATATGGACTGCATATTGAGTTGTGTGTTTAAGCCTTGGTTTCCCGGAAGCCACTGTGTATTCTAGCTAAAAAGCCTGAGTGAATTTGATGTGATTCATTATTGGGACATTAGCTCCTGAAGCAGTGATTCATCAACCTTGTACTGCTGCATGACTTTGTGGGTATTAACAAAAGTTGCAACTTATAATACTAGTTAAAAGAAACAATGCTAAACTTCCATGCTTCTACTGTGAAAACATAAAGATCCTGCAAGATTTGGCTTCTTCCTGAGATTCACAATCAGGTGAAAAACATGGGCAATTAGCTAGTATTATACTTGGAACATTTTACACCTGGTCTGTTGAAACACAGTGATAGCTAGTCAGTCTTCAAACACCATCTGTCAGCACACCAAAAACATATCTTTATCTGTAGCAATACCTGTTCTCTTGAATGAGGTGCCCCCCATGATTCAACACCCCCCCCCCAGTGTGCTGTTATTTCCGAGGGCTTTGAAGACCTGGGTCTTTATCCAGACTTTTAGCAAAGGTGGCTGAAGCCCCCTTTAGATACTCTGGATTGTTCTCCTTGGTCCCTTCCAGTTTTTTCATCTTCTTATATATACGTTAATATCTTATTGTTTTCCTTTTTTTACTGTTTTATACAATTTGTAACACACACACACACACACACCAAGCACTGGGAGTCACATGGAGTATACATATAATGAGTTGTTGCTGCTGCTATTAAAGGTCTCAGCAGCTGGGTTTTCTAAATATGACTTGTCCAGATATCATGATCAGTCAAAGAACTCTATTTAAACAACCAGATTTTGTCCTTCATTACTTGCATGCTACACAACATTCTCCTTCTGGTTTTTTGGCTTAGCTTTTTTGCTAGGCCAGCAAAGCTTTTCTCTTGGTCTTCTCACTTTGAATTAGTTCATACTGATTTGAAGTACTTTTAATCAGATTTTTATCTGATTTTTAATTACTCTCCTTAGTTGCCTTCATTGCCCTCTGGACAGTAAAATGGGATTATTGTAATCTCTTCACAACAATGTGAAAGCACAGCTGCCAGTTTGTTAGCTGGTGTTGGCCTTCATAATCTTTGAGTTTGTACCAAGAATCTAGTGTCGGCATAGTATATGCAGATTCAAGCACTGTGGCTTTTCGTAATTGACAGATTTTTTTAAGTGCCCTCCCAAGATTTTTTGATACGGTACTTGGCTGTGGCTGGGATCATGACAGCCAATTTATGGCAAAACCTTTCAACTTTGATTTTCAGATCTTGACACTTTGTGATCTTCTCCAGTTCTTTGTCTTCTAGTCTACTATCTCCTGGTCTTGCCCCATCAAATATCCGCACCTTCTTCTTTTCAACCATGGTTAAATCTGTTGTCTTTATGTTCCAAGAGTTTATATTCAGAAATCCCATTACTATTATTTTGGTTGGTAACACAGTTCAGCCAGATGTTTAAACTGGATTTGGCATTTTTATCCACCTGTTGAGTCCTTCCCAAGGACCTGGGTGTGCTTCTGTGTGTGAAATTTAAATTTGTTGGCATTAGAGATATCCCCACAGGATGTAAAAACTGTTCCGAGTAAAACCGCCTTTTGCTGTTGACTGGTGGTGATTCTGTCAGTGCTGATGATGTTCAGGTGGTATTCCAGATGTTTTGGGATTGCACCCAAGGCACCTATCACTATTGGTACTATCTTTGCTTATTATTGTTGTTGTTATCCTCACCAGCTTATTTAAAAACACTTGATTTTCTAAATAAGTGAACAGATGCCATCTAGTGGTATTGCCAATGCCATGTTGCCAACCTTTATCCTAGAGGTAACGATTGTAGCTTATTGATTTATATTGACTTTTCCCCGTGTCTAAGAAGTGACAAGCAGAGGTTTTGTCACTGCCTCATCTTTAAAAATGGATGAACTCTTCAGCATTTGTATCCAGTACAAAGGAAATCTCTGTTTTTAATTACTGGCAGGATCCAGAAATAAGTCCAGTGCTTGAAAGCCACTGAGAAATAGTCAATTTGAAGGCTTCCACTGGTCTGGGAATAGTACCGAGCTGAACCCATTATTGTAGGGCATGTGCTTGTGAGGGCACCTTGAATAGTCAGAGTTTGACCCTCACACTCCAGTGACCTTATTGGCTGCCAGTCCCCAAAGGCCTCTTTGGATGGGTTATGGAAATGGTTCATTTTAAAATAAATCATTATTTTATAGGCTGAGCTGCTCTTGCCAGCCAGCAACACAGCAAGACAGGAGAAAGAATAAGAAGGTGCTTATTTAAAAGAGAGCTAACCACTGGTCTGTATTCCTTGCAAAACAGGCACGTAAAAAGCGATAGTTGCCGAATAAACAAAAATAAAATAGAAATAACTCCACTTGAACTTTTAATTACAGCTTTTTTGCCAAAAGGAGTAGCGGAGTGCAGGTAGTCTTTGACCTAATGACTGGTCACTTACATTACAACAGACTTGGAAAATAAACTTATTTACAACCTGTCCTCAAAGTGATCACATGATCAGATTTGGGACATTTAGCAACTGGGTCTTATTTATGACCAGCTGCAGCATCCCACGGTCATATGATCACATTTTGTGGAATTTTTTTGCTGTTTTCTGGCAACCTCTCACTACTTATCAGATTCATACCCACAGGATATGCTTAATAACAACTGCCGTAAATATGGTCATAAAATCAAGTCTGGTCATGTGGTGACTCAGTTTACACAACTGCAACTACTTATGACTAAAACTGAGCTCGGTTGTGAGGTCAGGACTACCTGTATTACTTCAGGTGACGTGATTTCATATCAAAATAGCAGAATATCGGGGTGAAACTCTGACTAATACATCTGCTTCCCATATGGAAGATGTGAGACTCCCTAGTAAAACTATGAATAGCCACTGTTGGTCAGTATAAACAACCAGACTACTGATTGTCTGGGATGCTACACATCCTCTTTACGACCTGTTTTCCTTGTTACCTTCTGGGAGGAGACTCTGTGGTATCCGAAGCAGAACATCCAGATTCATTCACAGTTTTGTTGCATACAGTATTAACCTTGTAAACTCTAAAGCTTCCTTTTTCCACTATGTATTCAAGATGGACAGTGATTAATATCTATGTTATTTATATGTAGGGGTGTAGGCAGTAGTGGGATTCAGCTAGTTTGTACCAGTTCTGTAGGCTTCTGGAAGTGGTGTCCACGCACTTCCGGTGGGCCATTCTGGGCCTGGGAGACCTCCCTGGCTCAGAACGGACTTCCAGAAGTGTCATCCATGCAGAGAATCGGTTGTTCAGGTATTTGAATCCCACCACTGGGTGTAGGTTTATACATATGTTGTATATAGCACGTTTAAATGTGTGTTATGTATGTATACACTTTCGAGAGCAAGCAACAAAATTTCATTTTTAATGTGTGCCAATGTGCCCACAGTAAAAAAAATGACAATAAAAGTTATCTATTATCTATCTATAGGGTATATGGTAGCTTCCTACTACATTTTCAATTAGCTGGCTATAACTATAACTTCTTCACTTCTTAGAAAGAGAATTACAGTTGCATTAAGGGTCAAAAAGACTTCTTTTACACTGTGAGGGAAGATACATGTCTGTTGTTTGTAGATGGTGTTGCCTTCATACATCTGCGAATTGTAATGTTCTGGCTAGGGGGCGGTCAAACAGCGAAGCACAGAACAGGAAGTCAGATCAACCAATCCTCATGAAAAGCACCTTTTTCTACAGAACACACCTTTGGTGTTTTGGAAGTATTTTCCTCAGCCATCTGCAATCTGCACTTATCCATCAACCCCTTCGTAGCATAAATATTCTTTGACAACTACAGGCAGTTGTGGACAACTTTAAATCAGCCTTAATACCTGACTTGTATGAGTTTTGGTAAACAGGATTAATCAAAACTCTGGATAATTAATTCACTTCAGCATGTTATGGGTTTATGTCCTGTTTTCTAACTTCTGATGCATATTTTACCAATCACTAATGAAATATTTACCCCTTCTCCTCTTCCACTCATCTCTTGCCTTCTATCTCTGTATTTTTAGGATGGTACTTTGTTTGATGGCCGGCCGATAGAGTCTCTCTCGCTGATAGATGCCGTGATGCCCGATGTGGTACAAACAAGGCAGCAGGCGTACAGAGACAAGCTTGCTCAGCAGCAGGCAGCCGCGGCCGCAGCCGCAGCGGCTTCAACAAATCAACAAGGATCTACAAAAAATGGTGAAAATACTGCAAACGGAGAGGAGAATGGCGCCCACACTATAGCAAGTGAGTGGAGCTGCAATTAATAAATTGTAAATGGGTTGATAGACAGGCTGGGTATATTCTTCTGTATTTAAAAACTCAGTTGTCCCACTTTCCGCATACAAAAAACACTCAAAACATTTAAACGTTTTTAATTTTTAAAAAAAATTGGGGGGGGGGAATATAGTGTGTGGTATTTTAGGCATTTCAACCTTCAAGTCAATCAGATGGATGAGAAAATAAATTTAAGAAAAGCCAGAATCAGGGGGAAAACATCCCATCTTGCATAGGTATTATTTGGGATTGGTTTTGCAACATAAGAGATTTTTTTTTTAAGCCACCATTGCTCCCCAGCTGACAGGGGAATTCTGGGAGATGAAGTCCACATCTCCTAAAGTTGCTTAGTTTAGAACCACTGATCTAAGGAGATTGTGGAGAGCGAGCCCCCCCTGCTGGCGAAACAGGCAAATGCTAGAGACCCTCTGTCTTCCTCGAAGTGAATATATCCATCTGCTCTATTCAATGCCAGTTGTGCAGGAATAGCTAATTCAGTCTCTTTTCACACTCCCAAGCACATGTATAAATGTACGTGAGCACACAAAGTCCTCTTGTCTCCTAGGACTACTGTTCCACCCAGGAGTAGAAGGCTCCTCTTAAATTAGTTTGCCAGGGATCAAAGGCTATGCTTAGCATGGCTCTCATTTCATGGAAAATACACTACGTGATCGTTTTCAACTTCTGCTCTTGTAATCCAAACATAACCTTTTAGCATTTTAATTTTTTTTAAAAAAAGGGTTTTGATGCTAGCTCACAATAAAACTGTTTTTGGTAAATCATCTGGTCTTGTTTACTGAGAAATATGTGCTTAATATGTCTTTCTTGCCAAACAAACATATTACTGAATCATAGCCACTGATTGGCGATGTAGTCACAGTATTCAACTCAAGTTAGATGAATGTGATAAAACTACCAACAAGCTATTTTTTGAGAGCCAAGAAGCTTTACATAAAACAGATTTATTTTGGGAAACAACCATCGACCAGTTAATATTCTCCTTTTGGAGCATACGTAATTTTTATCATGGAGGAGGGGGTAGAAGAATCACAGATACACAAAGAAACACACCCTGTATAAATTTCAAAACTGTTTGGCTTTATTTTAAGCCAGACCTGTTATTCCCTTTATTACTGAATTACATGCTCACGTGCAATTCATCCATTTTTAAAGATAAAGCAATAATGGAAGCATTTTGTGCATTTTTTAAATCCATCTGTCATCTTAGCTTCCCTGCCCTCCCCCCAAAATAGAATATTCTATAGAACAGTTATTAAGCTAAATTAATTCTAATCTGATCAAGTGGGGAATTTAAATCACCACCTCCCTTCTTAAAGACCAACATATGAATCTACTACAGCTTCTCCAAACTGGAACATCCTGAATATTAAGGCTATCACCGTATGTCTCCTATTTACTTCTGACCCAAGTCCCATTGACTTGAGTTGATGGGAATTGTAGTCCAAACTTATCAAAAGACACTCTTGCTTTAGGATTAAAATGTACACACAATCAATGACAAGGATATGGAATCTTACTTTTTTTTTAGCATTCAGTTAATTTAAGAAAAGGATATGGAACCTTACTAAGAAGAATTCTAATAGAGGTGTGAGGTAGCACATTAACAACATATCTATGAGAGTAAAAAGAGTGAACCAAATACAGTTGGTCCTCAACTTATGACCACAATTGAGCCCAGATTTCTGCTACTAAGTGAGACACATGTTAAATGAGTTTTGCCCCGTTTTACAACTTTTCTTGCCACAGTTGTTAAGCGAATCACCGCAGCTGTTAAATTAGTAACAGGGTTAAGTAAATCTGGCTTCCCCATTGACTTTGCTTGTCAGAAGGTCACAAAAGGGCATCATAAGACCCTGGGACAATGCAACCATCATAAATATGAGTCAGTTGCCAAGCGTCTGAATTTTGATCACATGACCATAGAGAGGCCACAAGGGTCCTAAGTGTGAAAAACAATCATAAATCACTTTTTTCAGTGCCGTTGTAACTTTGAACCATCACTAAATGAACTGTTGGAAATTGAGGACTACCTGTAATAAAAGTGATGGTGTCCTTAGGTATCCCATAAGCTAGACCAGGGGTAGTCAACCTTGGCTCTTTTATGACTCGTGGACTTCAACTCCCAGAATTCCTGAGCCAGCTGTGCTGGCTCAGGAATTCTGGGAGTTGAAGTCCACGAGTCATAAAAGAGCCAAGGTTGACTACCCCTGAGCTAGACGTAGGGCATGAATGAATAATAACAATAGCAAAAACAACAGTAATTTAATGGTAACGTGTCTCCCTTTCCTTACGGGTTTCTTTTCGACAGATAATCATACAGATATGATGGAAGTGGATGGTGATGTTGAAATCCCTCCAAACAAAGCAGTGGTGCTGCGGGGTCACGAATCTGAAGTTTTCATCTGCGCCTGGAACCCTGTCAGTGATCTTTTGGCCTCAGGGTATGTTTTTTAAAAAAAAGTTGAAAATATAACCTCTCTTTTCCAGTTTTAATCCTAAGGAAAACGTCTTCATTTCCACATCTATGAACTTGTTGAATTGGAAATGTAGGAAACAAGAGACTTTGATTTTGATTAGTAGCACATAAGACACTTTGGATAAATGATGTATGAAAAGGGGAATGTAAGACAGTGCTGTTCTGGTTTAGTTGCTTGAACAGGAACAGTCAGGTTATCTGTCTAAAGTCCAAGGAGTTTGAATCTTGTTACGGAATCATCTCTATGTAATGAATGGTTGTACAGGAAGGCCTCGAGTTACGACCATGATGGAGCTTGCCAGTTACGGTTGTGATGGTCAAAAGCTGGCTGATCACATAACTGACTTTGATTTTATGACCTTTTTGCTTTGGTTGTTAGGTGAAACAAAAAGGTTTGCTATGGGCCAGTTTTGGTGAAAACTATAAGTAAATGCCAATTTTCGTTATAAAACACGGTCATGTGACTGGGATGCTATAAATATCCATAAAGGCAATCCAGTTGCCTAGCACTTGGAGTGTGGTCATATGACCACAGGGGTTCCCCCCCCCCCCAAATCATCAAAACTTTGAATGTGGGTCATAAGTAACCCCAGAAAGAGATCCATTGGAACGTCAAGCAGTTGCTAAGTGACTAGTTGTAAATCAGGATCTACTTATAACTGAATATTTGTCAGTTGTATGGTAGTACATCTTTTCTTGATGCGTTTCAAGACCACTCTGTATTCTTCTCCTTGGAATACTGCATCCAGTACTTTTTTTTACTTTTTTTACATCGTGGAAGATGTAAAAAAGATGTTGAGACTCTAGAAAGAGTACAGAGAAGAGCAACAAGGATGATTAGGGGACTGGAGGCTAAAACATATAAGGAACGGCTGCTGGAATTGGGTATGTCTAGTTTAATGAAGAGAAGGACGAGGGGGGACATGATAGCAGTGTTCCAATATCTCAGGGGCTGCCACAAAGAAGAGGGAGTCAAGCTATTTTCCAAGGCACCTGAAGGCAGGACAAGAAGCAATGGGTGGAAAGTAAGCAAGGAGAGAAGCAACCTAGAACTAAGGAGAAACTTCCTGACAGTTAGAACAATTAACCAGTGGAACAACCTGCCTCCAGAAGCGGTGAATGCTCCAACACTGGAAGATTTTAAGAAGAAAATGGACAGCCATTGGTCTGAAATGGTATAGGGTTACCTGCCTGAGTAGGGGGTTGGACTTGATGACCTCCAAGGTCCCTTCCAACTTTATTATTATTGTTGTTGTTATTCTTTGTTAAGTCTTTGGTGAGGTTGACTGAAAAGAATTGTACTTGGTTTTAAAGAAGCTGGTTTTTTGTTTTTTGTTTTTTGCAGATCTGGAGATTCAACGGCAAGAATATGGAATCTTAGTGAAAACAGTACCAGTGGATCTACGCAGCTGGTTCTTCGGCACTGTATACGAGAAGGAGGGCAAGACGTACCAAGTAACAAAGATGTAACATCTCTGGATTGGAATGTGAGCAAAAAAATTCCCATGTTCAAATTAACCCATATTTTGAACTTCGAACACATGCATTTTTGGAGGTAGCCATTTCCAGATTTCCATGAGCGCTATAGATACATGTTTTATTTCTCATGTGGTAGAACTATGCCCAAAGAGGTCTTCTGCTAAAGTTTCAGTGTAGGGTGCACCCGGGGGATCAAATATAAACATTCATTAATCTAGACATATATCCCCACTTTTTCAAACAGCTTTCAGAATTCAGCAGTGTTCGCAAATTGGTTTTTACTGTACTGTATTGGAGTTACGAAACAGCAGTTGTGCCTGAAATATGGCTCCAGAGAATGTGAAGCAAGTGGAATAGTAGCATTTGTATGGGTGAACAAAAGCAATCTTCAAACTTTCCTGATCTTGGCAAAAACAAGGAACACATTCACCCGCAACTGAATCTTTTGTGCAGCAAAAAACGTGCCCTAGAGTCAAATCAAAATGAATTAACTCAACCATCAAGAAGTCTTTTCACAGAGACGTTTAGGGAGCAACTCTCAAAAGTTCACTGAAGGAAGAATATAAAGAAATGAGAGATTTGCAAGAAGATCAGTGTGAAATGAAACATTCTTTAAAAGTTTCTCTGTTAAAATGGTAGCCAGAGGCTGTTGAACATGTTTTTTTTCCCCTCTAAAGGTATTTCTAATAGGACTCAGTTAAATACACCGTTGAGATTTAGAGGTGCCCAAAATGATTCAGAATTGAACAGGTCTGCTCCCTAGATACTCTGTTGTGATCTTATGAAAGGTCAAAAATGATCCTAGGACGGGGGTGGGGAACCTTGGCTCTTTTGTGACTTGTGGACTTCAACTCCCAGAAGTCCATGCTGGCTCAGGAATTCTGGGAGTTGAAGTCCACAAGTCATAAAAGAGCCAAAGTTCCCCACCCCTGTCCTAGGGAGATATGGACAACATTATGGGTTATTTCAGTGTTGAAACATTTTGCATACCTCTCCTTAAGTCTAGCGGTCCTTAAGTCTAGCGGTTCTTCAAGAAGAGATGATCACACTCCCAAGTAAAAAAGAAAATTTCATGAAACACGAAAACCTTGAGAGGGGATGTGTATAATTCACACTTTGCACATCTCTAAAGCAGAGGAAACATGCTGTGTTTGAAGATTGCAGACTTTTAAAACGCGTAGGGATAGACTAATGTCTATACTTTGCATTCCAGAGTGAAGGTACTCTCCTAGCAACAGGATCGTATGATGGTTTTGCAAGGATATGGACTAAAGATGGTGAGAGCAAACATTATCAGTTCTTTTTCCTCTTTCAAAGATAAAATACGACGGGGGGAATTATTTCAAATACTTTTTGTAAAATCAGGTAAAATGTAACTGGGATCTTTTAATTTCCAGGTAATCTCGCCAGCACATTAGGGCAGCATAAAGGTCCCATATTTGCATTAAAATGGAATAAGAAAGGGAACTTCATTTTAAGTGCAGGTGTGGACAAGGTAAGACAACCTTGGTTTATTTTGAAATATATTGTTGTAGATGAAATTATGAAGATAGTTTAGGGCAGGAGTCGGCAGCCTTAAACACTCAAAGAGCCATTTGGACCCGTTTCCCACAGAAAAGAAAACACCGGGAGCCACAGAACCCTTTTGACATCTAAAATGAAGATAACACTGCATATATCGTTTTTTATCTTTATGCTATGTATAAAAAAACAGCCGCAGCAGAGGGATGAAAGAGCCACATGCGGCTCCAGAGCCGTGGGTTGCTGACCCCTGGTTTAGGGTGTGGACCGCACAAAATGAAGTGTTCTTTAGAAAGAATACAGGTGATTAGCTGTTTCACTTTACTGTTAGCCGCTAGTGATGCCACCCTTCTTTCTAAACAAATTGTGGGCAAGTGTAGGAATACAGGCAGTTTTCTACTTACGACCCCAATTTCTGTTGCTAAGCAAGACAGTTAAGCAAGTTTTGCCCCATTTTATGACCCTTTGCCACTATTGTTAAGTGAATCATTGCAGTTGTTAATCACTGCAGTTATTAAGCAGATCAGGGTTCTCCCATTGACTTTTCTTGTTGGAAGCCGGCTAGGAAGGTTGCAAATGGGGATCACATGATCCCAGAACAGCGCAACTGTTATAAATACATGCCAGTTGCTAACCCCCCCCCCCCGAATTTTGATCACATGACCACAGGGATACTGCAACAGTCGTAATTGTGAAAAATGGTCATAAGTCACATTTTTCAGTGGCGTTGAAACTTTGGTCACTAAACGAACGGTTGTAAGTCAAGAACTATCTGTATAGTCCTAATAGGCATAAATTATGGAGTCCTTGGTGCTCTCTCCGAACTTGGTTGTTTTCTTGGAGATGCTTCATTAACCAACTAGGTAGCATCTTCAGCGCTACAAGACTGTGGTTCAGCACTGAAGATGTTACCTAATTGGAATAAGAAACATCTGCAAGAAAATAATCAACCTCAGAGAGCACCAAGGGCCCCACAGTTTAACCCTGAGTTACATTTTTTGTTGTGGTTGAGGCCCAATTTACTTTTTCTGAGTTAGAAAAGTTATGTTTGCAATAATTATAAGCCTAGAACATACAAGTAACATATGACAGTGAAGGAGAAGCTTTTTTGACAAAGAAAGCCTACAATTTATATCCTTCTACTCCTTAGCCTTTAAAGAGGAATCTGTTCTTTAGAAAGTGTAGTCTTAAATTACATCGTTTTAGTTGATTTGGTCGATTTAAAAATATTCAAAATTGTAAAGCCATTTTATGGTTTTTTGTTCTTTTTTTTTTTTTAATCCAGACCACAATTATTTGGGATGCACATACTGGAGAAGCCAAACAGCAGTTTCCTTTCCATTCTGGTATGTATTTTCTCTTCCGATAAAAGAAGGAACGGCTCGTAAGCCAATGTTTTGTGACTTAGTTAATAATAGTTTTGGACTTTTTTTTGTAGTACGTGTGTGTATGTGTGCATGTGTGTGTGTTTACAATTGGCACGTATTTCCAACAGCACTACTAGTTGGTATTCCAGCTAGTTCAGCTGTGAGAAAATTAGAGGCTCTTTTAAAAACAAAACATCTATCTTGTTTCAGATTTCCTCTTATTGACAGAAAAAGGAAGCTGGTTTAATCTACTTTCTCCTGAATCAGTTTTTTCTAATTAGCATTGCTACCAATAACACATTATAACTGACTGTTTCTCGATTCTTGATGGGATTTTACTTAAAATAATAATTTATAATCTTCACATTTCATTATATAGGTAGTCCTTGTGTAACATTCATTTGTCCAGCAACCATATAAAGTTACAGTAGAGCTGAACAAAGAGACCTACAACCCGTCTTAAAAATTCTGACCTTTGCAGTGCCCCCCCACCCTAGTCAAATGAATAACATTTGAATGCCTGGCAACCAGCTCACACTTTGCTATCGAGCAGTGTTTACATGCACTACACACTCCTTCACACTCCTTCCGTGCTTGCTCTCATGCATCACATCCCACTTCTCATCTTTGCATACACTGCAACTTCCTCTCCCCACTCTTGTGATTGTGCCACTTCGCAACACCTATGCCTTCCAATTCATGGGTGGCCGAGGCTGGGTCTCCCTCCCCCTTGTGGCACTTTCACATTCCTTACTTGGGACTCCCAGTGTTTCCCACTTAACAACTTGTGCGTCTTGGAGCTACGACAGCAACTGACCCTGCCTGGATTGTTTCCTCTCAGCAGCGGTCCTGTCACATTATGCTTTACAACCACATCACTTAGTGACAGCAATCCTAGTCCCAATTGCCACTGTAATTTGAGGACTGCCTATATTCTTTCAGCGCTAAATAGTACATTTGGCATACCAATTTTCATATAATTTATTCCACACTAATTGATTCATATGATGAATCTTCAGTGATGGAGTCATTCCATAATGCAAATATTTCACTAAGTCAGTTCCAAAATGTCTGGAGACCTTCACAAATAAATGTTATCGCTGATACTTTTCTTGTACATGTAAAGATGGGATCAATATGGTATTGGTAGCCTGTGGTTATACCACAGTCCAGCTTCTCCTGTTCTTAGGTTATGATTTTGTAAGAAAATTGTAATGTAGGAATTTCCCATGTACTCTTGAGTTGGAGGGAAAGCAGGATATGAATCTGACAAATTAGATAATACAGATTCTGATTAGTTGTCACATTCACAGCTCCTCTTCAAGTATAAAACAGTCTCTCTTTGAGCCTTTCCAAAATGAACTTTGCATTATACTTTGAAGTCCAAATTTTATTCCCTCTAAACTGGCCAGTCATCTCATCATTTTCAATTGCTGATGATTGCAAAGAAGATGTATTTCTTCTGACTTTTTTCTTTCTTTTTTTGCCAACAGCACCAGCGTTAGATGTTGACTGGCAGAGCAACAACACATTTGCCTCCTGTAGTACAGATATGTGTATTCATGTCTGCAAATTAGGTCAAGATAAACCCATCAAAACCTTCCAGGGCCACACAGTAAGTAATTTTCCTTTAGCTGTTATCCACGTAGTGTTAGTTGCATGTGTGAAGCAAAGTAAAGAGACGCTGTTCAAACAAGTTTATCCCAACCCACCATGCATCTTCTAGATGTGTTGGGTTACAATTCCCATAATTCCCTATTTGGAAGACATCAATGGTAACAAAGGTTGAAGCACAGATTGATGTTTTTCCTTCCCTGTATGTAAGTTGTCTTAGGTGGAATTTGTCAAAAGTCACAGTTCCCAATTTTAAAAAAAGTGTCAGTTTTCTATAGACATCAAACATAGAACGAAGTGGGGGTCCCCAGTACTAAACACCCTTCTGTCAAGGAGATTCAGGCATTTCAAATGAGTATAAATTGGTATATTTATTGTAAGCTTAAGCTCTCTGCAAGAATCTGACCAACTGACAGTTAAGGGAAATGAGCGGAAGATAAGAGAGACATTCAAAGTGGGCTGGACTTGGATCTCTTGCAGGTACGTAGGGACTTGTGACTGATGACACACTTGACCCCTCCCTCGGGTTCAGCCTGGTCATCTCCTACGCCTTCCTGCTAAATTTTTATTTTTTGTTTATTATGAAATGTATTTGCTGCCCATCTTGTATCAAACAACTCTGGGCAGCTTGCAGCATCAAAACATTAAAATCATTGGATAACAAAGCAGATAAAATAACATCATTAACACAAAATGGCAAAGGAGGGACTAGGATAGGGGGTGGATGGGTGGGGGGAGATGGGATTAGCTTTTAATTAACTAACCCTTTCCAGTGTGAAGCTCCTCCATTGGGTTCCAGGTCATCTGGCAAAACCAGCTCTTAAGGTTCTTTTGAAAAGTCAGAAGGGTGGCAGCCAATCTCACCTCACCTCAGGGGATAACATATTCCAAAAAGCAGGAGCCACAGCAGAGAAGAGTTTCCTGGACTCTAAATTACTTTTTAATAAATATGTTTTATGATTCTGGCCCCTTAAAGATTTAACCTATTGTAAAGCGCCAACATGCAGATTCAGTCAATTCTCCTATGTATGTCCTCTATTCCGGGTCTACTTCTAGGCAGACATTTTTCACTATATTTTCTACATTGTCTCTGTCTTAGACTGCTCTGGAGACATAAAAATCCCCTTCCTGTTTTTTTTCCTGAGCTGGGAAACCATTCATTTCCCTCTAATTTGCTGTTTCTTTTCTAAAGAAAAGCAAGATGCCAATATCTCTCTTGCTGCTTATTTTCAGAATGAAGTAAATGCAATCAAGTGGGATCCCACTGGTAATCTCCTGGCTTCTTGTTCCGATGACATGACTCTAAAGGTAAAAGTGCATTGCCGCAGTGGGTGATTCCTGTTGAAGAATCCATTGGGAAAACAGTTTTCTCCCATCTACCCTCGTTGTTTCAATGTGATTGCACTGTGGAAGTCCTAGGTGCCTATATCCGGCTGAGCCCTACAGCTGCTATGGGACTCCTGTTCCTAAACTTGCAAAAATTAATAGCATGCAAAAGGACTTAATTGTTTTCTTGACCATAAGAGTGTGCGCACTTCTGAGTAAAAACTAGGAGGATGATAATGAAGAAGGAGGAGGAGGAGGAGGAGGAGGAGAAGAAGGAAGAGGAGGAGGAGGAGGAAGAGGAGAAAAATGTAGTAGTAGTAGTAGTAGTAGTAGTAGTGCAACACTGAGAGAAGATGAACACTCAGCTTCTACCCTAGGCCTCAGAAAACAAAGCAGTAATGGTAAACCTTTTGGCAAAAATTTCAGAAAAGGCCTAACTTGATTCTGCTGTTGTATCACACACACACACAAATTAAAAAAAGGAAAACTTCTCTGTCTCCACCCCCACCCCGCCCCAATCTAGGTCACTCTGAATAGCGGCAGTTTCAGACCTAGCGCCACCACTGCTTCTGAAAGCATGCGAGGTGCCCTCACTCCTCTTCCGTGACTTCCTAAGATTGCATGAAAGCACATTCCCATTCTCGAACAAGTTTTGGACGTTGTGGAGGCCACACCTCTTGTCTCATGACTTCCAGGAGCCATGCAAGAGCCTAGCCCATTCTCATAACGGCCTCTGCAGCTTTTGGAAATTGCATGAGAAAGGGGGGAGGGGAGGTGCTTTCGAGAATAGTTGTTAGATGTTGGCGACAGCTGATGTGTCACCCAAAACATCGAGGCATGTCACCTTTGACATGCATGTCGTAGGTTTTCCATCACTGAAGTAGAGTCTCCTACCAATAGGGAAGTCAGATCAGCTTGCTTGGAGTGAGGGATGAAATCTGACATATTTTATCACTCTGCATCTTTTCCTACAGAAATTGTACGTGCTGTTATAAATAGTCACAAAAAAGGCGTTCATTCTGTTTTTCTAACATAAAGCAGCCATATGTTGATATTTCAGTAAATGTGAATCCAAATAAAAGCCTATGTTTTAAAAATAAAACTTCCCATTGATTATTTTTGAGTATTGTTATCTCAAATCTGAGGTATAAAATGGGTTTTTGTCTCTTTAAAAAAAAACAAATTAAAATACTCCTTTTTTTCCTTTTTTTATTGTTTTTTGCTTTATGTTTAAAAAAAACATTAAAAAAAAATCATGAGAACATCTTTACCTAAAATTAAATAAAGCTGATTGTTGCTTTCTTTATTCACTTTTCTATTAGATCTGGAGTATGAAGCAAGATAACTGCGTTCATGATCTGCAGGCCCACAACAAAGAAATTTATACTATCAAATGGAGTCCTACAGGGCCAGGAACAAACAATCCCAACGCCAATCTTATGTTAGCAAGGTAAGCTTCTCCTATGTAGGAGAAAAAAAAATGAAACCAATAATTTTGCTTAGTTCTGTTGAGATTAAATATAGAGACCACACACTATTCTGCCTCTTGAACATAGAAATGGTTCCTCAACTGTGCTTCAGAATTTTTCTATGAAAATTTGGAAAATACTCAGAAATAATATCCTTCTTGCTGTGAGGTTCCTTTTCTCCTTTTTCTTTTTTCTACTCCTTTAGAATTTTAACGTGTAATCCCATTAACTCAGGCTACATCTAAAGAACCTAGTGGTTTTGCTACCACCATCAATCCCTTTCCTGATTTAAAATTATTTTATGTTTTTTTTAATATTTTAATTGCTTTTTAACATATAAGGTAGCATGAATATATGTGGAATTTTGGGGAGAAGATAACTGCCCCCTTTTAAACCTAAACAGCGAATCAAATTCACATTTATTAAATGCATTGAAATCAACGGTAAGTGGGTTCTCCTAATTTTATAAATCAGATTATAGGTATAGTCAACTTATGACTATAATTGACCCCAGAACTATGACGCCATTATGCTCATAAACATCATGGGACTGGACCCAATTTTTTTTTTTTTATATTGTTTGCAGCAAGCATTAAGTGAAAGCCATGGTCATTAAGCAAATAAATTCTCCCCAATGGGTGTATTTTTGCTGGAAATGGGCAAATTGCAGATTGTGACTACAGGATGCTGCATAGAACTGTAAACATCAGTTGAAAAGTGCCCAAAATGTGATCACATGACTGCGGGGGAGGGGGTTACTTATGTAACTTCAAAAACAGGCCGAAAGTAGTTTTGGGGACATCCACCGTAACTCTGAAATTTCGTTAAATGACTGGTTGTAAATGGAGGTCCACCTGTAAATTGGTTAAGACAGGGGTAGGCAACCTTGGCTCTTTTATGACTCATGGACTTCAACTCCCAGAATTCCTGAGCCAGCTATGCTAGCTCTGGAATTCTGGGAGTTGAAGTCCACGAGTCATAAAAGAGCCAAGGTTGCCTACCCCTGGGTTAAGATATTCTTTTAAGTCACACCTGAAAAGGAATCATAGTAACCTACATTTTACATGGATCCTGCTAGTAAGCATATACTAATGAACCCACCACACTGACAGAGGTTGGTTTTCCATGGGGTAGGAATTCCAGAGCAACCATTAATATTGCCTACGTTCCCATCTCTCTCCAAAATATAAACTAGGCAAGGAGGAGATGCCTTGTAGTAGCATGCTTTGAATGATGGTCCTAATACCCAGTCATCATGTAGTTAACCATAGTAATCTTATATATTACACGGCACCAGGATTCAGCATGTACTTGAGTTACAACACAAAGTCCTTCTTCTCACACACTTCATTGCTGACTGCTTCAGCAGCCAAGTTCTAATAATAATTAATTGTTCTCCTCTTGCCTTTGATAGTGCATCCTTTGATTCTACAGTCAGGTTATGGGATGTAGACCGAGGAATTTGCATCCACACCTTGACGAAACATCAAGAACCTGTGTACAGTGTAGCTTTCAGTCCTGATGGTAGATATCTGGCCAGTGGTTCTTTCGACAAATGTGTACACATCTGGAACACACAGGTATGTCTCCTGGAGCATTAGTAATGTTATCTGTCTTTTTCTTCCATTTTTAAACATTTAAAGTTGACTACTGTGATTTTTGTCTCTTCCCGATCTCCTAGCAAAAGGCCAAATCCATCTGTAAATAATTTAAGAAATGTTTTGTACTTTCTCCACCATCTATTCAATTCTAACATAGTGAAAGTTTCCAGAGCTGGCTTAGGGATGTTGTACTTGCTGTATTTATCAGAGTCTCTTAAAAGAAGCTGTACCTTTTTCCTGGGTATCCAGGAAACTAACATGAGTAAACCCAGAAAAGACTTAAGGAGCTGTTGACAAATATAACAAGCACTTTTCCTGCTTTGGGACAAAATTTGAGAACACCTAACAGATTTATCCAGCACTGTATTTTACTGATGCCTGCTGCAGAAAGAACAGCTAGGCCATTAATTATTTGCATATTGCTTTGAGTACATAGAAACATAGAAAACTGACAGCAGAAAAAGACCTAATGGTCCATTGAGTCTGCCCTTTGAGGCTTTTTAAAATTTTTACTTCATTTTTTTAAATTTTTGTTGGATGATGGACATGTGTTTATCCTAAGCATGTTTAAATTGAATGATTGACCCATTACTTCCGCTGGAAGTTGGTTCCAAGCATCTACTACTCTTTCTGTGAAGTAATACTTTCTAACATTACTTTTGAACTTCCCTCCTGAGGTTGTGTCCCCGTGTTCTTGATTTTTGCTTAATATTGAAAATACTGCCTTCTAGAACCTTATTTACACCCTGAATATATTCAAAGGTTTCAATCATGTGCCCACTTTCTCTTCTTTCCCCCAGGCTGTACATATTCAGTTCCTCCAGTCTCTCCTGATATGTATGTTCATTCGTGCCAGGAAATGTATACGTGCCAGGAAAGATAATCAGTTGATGCTTATAATACTTTATTACTTTAATGTCATTGTGTTATATCCCAACCTCTTGGTTTTACTGTTTTTCTAGACGGGGGCTCTGGTGCATAGTTATCGGGGGACAGGAGGCATTTTTGAGGTTTGCTGGAATGCAGCAGGAGACAAAGTTGGAGCGAGTGCTTCAGATGGTTCAGTAAGTAAAGCAAAATGAGATCTTAACACTCGATTCCTTTTGACATATTCCAATATCCAAATGTGTGGGTATGCTTAGATCCTGCTTTATTTTTGTTATAAAGTGTAGGGTTATGCTTGGATTTGTAGAATTTTTCTGCACAATTTATTTACTACTTTAAAATAAAAATAAAACAGTAAGCCATCAAGACAATAATCATAAGCCAGATGAACCCAAGAATTTTGAAGAGGTGATAAATGTTGAAGGAACTTCTCATGAAGTCCCTCACTCAAGAAAAATCCCCTATCATACCTTCAGGTAGTCCTCGACTTACAACAGTACGTTTAGTGATCATTCAAAGTTACGGCGGCACTAAAAAAAAGTGACTTACAAGCATTTTTCACACTTGCGACCTTTGTAGCAGCCCTGTGATCAAAATTCAGATGCTTGGCAACTGGTTCACACTTACGGCCATTGCTGTGTCCCAGGGTCATGTGACCACCTTTTGAACAAGCAAAATCAATGGGGAAGCCTGATTCACTTAACAACCTCCTTACTAACTTATCAATTGCTGTGATTCACTTAACAACTGTGGCAAGAAAGGTCGTAAAACGGGACAAAACTCGCATGAAATTTGGGGCTCGATTGTGGTCGTAAGTCGAGGACTACCTGTAGTAGGGTTTACAAATTCCCTTTGTTAAATACATCCAAAAGAACCAAAATTCCTCTAAAAAAATCAACATATCAATAAAAGACATTAAAAAAAATATTTTGCCTTGTGCTGTGAAGGCAATAAATATGGCAGTACGCATATTTCACTGGTGAGGATATTACAAAGGTATTACAGACCTGCCACTGAAAAGGCACACTTGCCTACCAACACATGCAGGCCAAGACACTAGAATATAAAATGAGAGCAAAACCCAACTTCCTAGTAGCACTGATGACGTTACCTAATTTGGGTAATGAAATGTCTGCAAGGAAACAATCAAGCTGACAGAGTGCCAAGGACTCCTCCTAGTGTAATGAGTATAATAAGCGCACAATTTCTGTATCGTAGGATGCCCAGTCTTTTGGAGTTGTTGTTGGTGTCCAAATCTAATGTATAAATAAATTTCTGAAACCCCTTTTCCCTTCCTCCCCCCCCCCCTTTTTTTTTTTCTTCCTACCTCTTTGCAGGTTTGTGTACTAGATCTACGGAAATAGCGCTACTAGTTGGAAGCCATGGACCGACTATGAATGTGTACATAGCCAAAATGACTGTCCCCACGACCCATGTACTGCTATTGTCCCAACTGAACCATGGCCAGTCCACTACAGCCAAACCTGAAATAATTAAATACATGTACTGTACATTTTTTTAAAAAACAAAAAAAGCAAAAGATTATACCCTGAAGAAGATGACAGAGTGATGTCACAGCTTGTGAAGCCTGTTCACCAAGTGCTGGAATTTGCTGCAGCCCACCCCCCACCCCCACCCCCACCCAAAATAAAATTGAATGTGGGAGGAAATTAATAAAATAAAACAAAACAGGACAAGAGAGAAAGAGAACTGAATTATGCAAGCAGCCCTTTAAGAGTATCAGATTGAGGAAAGCAATGTATGGCTTATTTGCCCCCCCCCCCCAATCTTCTTTCTCCTCTTTTCTTTATTTTTACCCTTTTTTTGAAACTTTTGGAAGTTTTTTGTTTTTTCTTCTTTCTGATCCCTCCCCACCACCCGAAGAGGTAATGAACAGTTTTCATGTATAGGGAGAACGAACTTGCTTAGTCCTGCAACAGTGATTGGGTTCATTGCTTCTTCTCCTCATGCTCTTTAACGTTTTACTGATGCTTGAAGCCAGGATGTGAAATTCTTTCTAGGTGGTGGTAGATCTTTTCACTAAGAATTGGAGGGAGGGAAATCTTTTCAGCAGTTCTTTGAAGTCCTCGTTAATATTTAACTTTATAGACATCTGGCAAGTGTTACATAGATCTGCTTCCAGTTTAGATAAGGAGGAAGAAAACACAAAACCCATCTTGACGAATGAGGATCAACATTCCTTTATCTTTGTCATCAGATCCAATAGTTTACAAGCTACTCGGATGCTGCACTTAGTCTTCTTATTGGTGATGACTGCTCCAGAAAGCAGCCATCTCCAACTTGACACATTTCTGCCAGCCCTAAGAGTGTACAAAATGCAAGAGAAACACATACACTGAGACTGAAATAGGATGACCACAGTAGGGCAATCATGTCATTGGCTTGGACAGCTCGATGGTATGGGTGTTGAACCTTTGTGTATTCAGATCTGGGGGTGATAGACCTTGATGGGAGGTTGGCTCAGGTAATCCCAACACCTGTGGTCTGTACATTCCAAGTTTAAGCCAGACCGAAAAAAACAGAGCCTCTTTTTCTTCAAAACCATGATCATAGTTACATTTGAGTCGCTCTGTGAAAATTGAACTAGTAGAGAGAGATAAAGGACTTGTCTCATTCTCAGTTTGGGGAAATTTTTCTGCTATAACTCTGTATGAACTTTCTCCAGTTTTACTCCGTATAACCAAATTCCCAGTTGGAAGTATTTCAGCCTTTGGGGACAGTACTTATTTCTTTCTTCCCCTTTGTACAAAAACATATTTGAAGCCTCTTTGCTAAGGTTTTTCTGAAGTAAGGCAAGTTGTTTACTGCCTTCATGATACTGATTCGTTGGAAATTCTCCCCTCACCCCTCCACAAAACATGTTGAAGAGGCAACTGAGCAATATTTGCAGCAGGGATTAAGTTCCACTGGGCTGGTGAAGTTCCCAGTGAACGGCTCCTCATATTTTTTAAGTCAAAAGGAAAGCAGGAACATGCCCTGACAAAAACTCTTTGCTTCATGCTTCTTCAACTATCAAATGATTGAGCTTCCGTACTAGAAAACAGCCTTGCATTAATTTTTCCCTGTTGTTCCCCCATTATTTTTTTCTTTTCTGTGTGCTTGTCTCCTTTCTCTTCACCACACCACTCTTCAAATTTAGATTTCAGTGTAAGCTGCTAAATGTTTTTCAGGAGAAAATATAATCACCACTTTTGAGTGTCTGGTTCTTACATCAAGTCTTGCTTTTCCTTTCTACATATTAACTCTGTGCTCATGTTTGATCACAAGTGACTTTATTTTTCTGGTGAACATACAGTTATAAAGGCTGACCTGTTCCAGTCTCGTTTGATGCTTCGTGTCTTACGCAGCTTCCGACTTCTTAAACAAAAAAGGTGTACAGGCTTTTTTAAGGTTTCACCTGATTTTTACCTAAAGGAATGCTTTTTACTCATTTGCTTTGCTAAGGCCTCCATTTCGGATCTCCTTTTCAGTCACAGCAACACAGTGCAGAAATACTAAGCTTCTTATCTTTTTCATTTTTGCTACTTCTTCCAATAGGCGGCACAACATATAAACACAAAGCTTGGACCTCTCTTTTGAAGATATAAACCAATTCCCTCTTTATTTGTAAATTATCTACCGTCTTGAATTCTTCTTTCCCTCCTGATGAGGGTTATTTTGTTTTGTTTTTACGATGTATGTGTTTCCAGACATCATTACAATGTTTCCTTTCTTTTTAACATCAGGCAAGGAAATGCACACCAAAGCTTCATTGACCTAAGATTCAGCTTAAGATCTAAATTCTAAGAGGAACCTTCGCTGCTTCTTCAGTAACTCCATTTTCTTTATAAGACTTAGCTCAATCTTCCCTATTCTACTGCGGCTTTTGCTAAATCAGATCACTGCATCCTATCCCCCTCTTTATGAAGTACATTCTTTCAGCATTGACTTCTGCCACCTCTGTGTATATGCCCAGAAAGCAGATCTTGAAGTAAGTCGAGTTTTGCTTGGTAAGGCAACCACAACAATTTTTAGCTGATTTATAATACACCATCATGGTTACTCCTAATGGGGGATTATAAAGTTATACACAGATTGTGAGAGAAGAAAAGGAAGATTTACCCCCATAAGGACAGTCGTTCCATCCAATGATACCTCTGTATTAATTGTTTATAGGGTTTGGGTATAGGCTTAGGAGGTTAAGAATCATTTTCCCTGTAAATTACAGTATGTAAGAAACTTAACCGGTTGAGTATCTGGCACTTGAAAAACCTTGCTTTTTACCGCTGGAGGTCCAGGACTGTGGCTGACCTCTGTCATTATTAAAATAATTTTTTAAAAGTTTAAAATATGTAAAAAAAAATCTGTGCAATAATTTTAAACTGTGCTCCCAGGAATAGACACAAATGTGTTTTTGGGGGATTTTTATTTTGAGTATATTTAAACAGCATTTTCTTTTCCTTTAGCAACACAAATGTCAATTGCACTGAACTTAAATCTTTTAAAAAAAAAAGTCAGAGGTGATTCTTGATAGTACTTTTGTATTTTGATATGGACAGTCTGTTCGTTTTTCATACAAGCTCTTGAACTGATGTTTCAGCTTACTTCAAAAAAAAGTGTATAAAAACGAGATGGTGTTTGAAGTCTTTTGACACAGCTGCAAGAATTCCACAGCAACGTTTCATATTTCTGGTTTTGCAACTGTTTAGCTCTTGTTTTTTGGTTGGTTGGTTGGTTGGTTTTGATTCTAGCCATTTAAGTATGATATAGCATGTAGACTTTATTGAAGCTTCATTATCACAGCTGTGTTATCAACCAAATCCTGGGCTGATTCCCCTCCTCCTTCCTACATAATTTTGCTTTTAACACAATTCAAGGAAGACTTTTTTTTTTTGGGTGGGCCAGACGTTCAGTCTTGCTCTTGAGTTCCACAAGCCACATTCCAAATTCCCAAGTCCCAAACCAGACAAAAAGTAACTTCATTCCCATGGACTGCAGACCTTCCCAGGCTTTCTATGTTTCATGCCATTATAAATCATTAATGTTAAAGAGTATTTTATAGGAAATAGGATAGTAGCCCTTGGCTTTATTTTGGAGATTATTTTTTTCTTTTCTTTCATCAGATCTGTTTGTGCTGTTCATCTTTCTTCTCTCCCTCCACACTGCAGCTTCCCTCTCCTGTTATCATCCCATAACATGGGTCACTTGGGGAGGGGAGGTTAAAGTGAGGAGAGGAGTTAGCAGCACAGCTTTTAAAAAGAGCTGTTGTGGTAGGGAAAAGGGCCAGATGTATTGTGGTTGTTTGTGTGATAGACATTGAGCTGAAAACCTGGAATTCTCCAACTGTTGACTGCTGCCTTTTCATCAATGTGCCACAGTGCTGCTCCAGTTGTGAACTGACTTTCTTCTCCTTTTCAGTAAGACAAAACTTTCAGAATGTGGTATGAAAGGAAAAAAAGGGGAGCACAATAAAAAGAGCAATTCAAACACCCAAGGCTGAATAAACAGAATGGAAAGATCCCCAAAGCTGCCATTCCTCATTCCAGGATATAACTACATGTAAGGTCTCTCCACCTTGTATTTTATTTTCGACACCAGCAGGAATATGGCAGGCACTGTTGAGAAATACCACAGTGTTCATTGGCTATTCTTTTAATTTGTCATTCACTTTCCCACCGTCGTTTTTAACTTGTGTGCCCATGTAGGTTCTAAAAGCAGAAGTAAGTCTGGTTGAACTAGGAGCACTAATGAAGATGGTGGGGTCCAATCCCTCTTTCATGTAGCACAGTCTCCCCTATAAGAGTTCTTCCATTCAAATGACTTGAGCAATGCAGCTTTAGGAATATCACTTTCCCGTGATTTGATTCCACCCTGATACTAGTTAAAATCTAGATCTGGCTTCCCCAGTCTGATACCCTTAAGATCATTGATATACAGCTGCCTGTATATTCCCAATCACCATGACTAGAAATTGAATTTTGCCAAGACTAAGGAAGCTGATTTGTGCATGGGCGTGCCGTGGAGAAAGATCTGAAGCACAGATTGAAATGGGCTTCATGGCTGTTAACAGCCTGCATAAAATGAACGTTCATTCTTGAAATGACAAAGCCAACAAGCATTTTGAAGGTAATATTTACCAATTACTACAGTGGTTGAAGTTTGTTGGATTGTTTTAAAGTAGCTTGGCATTTAGCATTTGGATAACTTATTTTGGATAAGTTAATTGTGGGGAAGAATTGGGAACATCTGTTAACATTGTAGGATGGACTGCTAAGATGTTTTGGGCAGCAAGGGTGATGCATGAAAAATGGGTGAAAATCCAGTTTCATTGTGGTCAAATAAGATAGTGACCATTAGGTTATGACAAAATGTCTGTCTCCATTGTCTTAGGTTATTGGGTTAAAACTAGGGCATTCTTCCCAATCTAGTTCCTAGGTTACCAAGTTGTGGGAATAAGTTCATACAATTTGCAGCCATCTGGATGGTTATAATGAA